ATATATATACATATACAGTAGTGGTGTAGGTAGCAGTAATAATTTAGTGCAAAAAATGAATTAAAATTATAAAAAACATACTATAATTATTGTTATTAGATTACTGAATCAGTCTCAAAAGAAAACTATTTCTATCACACCTTAACATTAAATTCTGTGAATCATAGTAATAATAAGAAAAATAAGTGGCAATTGCAATGTTTCACACATTTTGTGTGAGGATGGTTATTGACCCATGAAGCTGCATTATTGAGCAACAACCAAATGCTTTGTGTTGGTGGAAATTCACTGAACTGTTTTTGAAATTTGGCAGTCTATTTTGATATTTCTATAAACTAGTTCAAGAAATCAAAACATACTTGTTAAAAAGCATTGAGTGTCATAGCTTGTTTATGTAGTTTACCATCTCATGGAACAAAAATATTTAAAAACCTTGAGTTTAATAATAAATAAATAAATAAATGACTTACCTATGGATGTCCATAAAATGATATTGAAATATAATTTCGTTTTAGCATATTAAATTGCTTTCAGTAGTCGTCTCAATTCAAAGTCCAAAACATATGAATTTCAGAAACTAAAAATAAACAGAATCTTAAAAATCCACGTCACATTGACGATTACAGAGAACAAGGAGATGTGAATACTGGGCTTCTCACCACTAGGGCTCGTATTACCACGGAACGGTGACAGGCGTACGGCACGGGCATGAGGGTAGAGGCGGAACCTCTCGGAGCACCTAACTCCATCTATTGTTCCGGTTCCCGTGTCCCACTCTACGACTCCCACAGGTAGATTTAATTCAGATCCTCGTATTCCGCGGATTTTATGGGTTAAAGGCATCGTCTAGGCTGCGGCTTCATCGGAGGCAGAAATTTGACACGTGGTGCCTAATCCTTGGCAACCTATGTTACTTTAAAGTAAGAGAGGCCCAAAAAGACTCCTTTTTGCTTACTCAAAGTAAAAGTTGTTTGCCAAGTTGGAGAATGGATGGAACAGTGACCTTAATATTATTGTAGACTATGCGAATTAAAGTAAGCGGCAGAGACTAAATTTATTTATTTATTTATTTATATAGTAAAATACACATTCTAGAATTTGGCATCAAAATTATGTTTCGTTGTTTTATTATCATGTTCATTCTGTTCTTTGGTATTTAATATTTTATCCCTGACTTTTCATCTACTGTGTATCTTTTTACCTACTTTTGACGATTGCTGTTAATTAGGCAACTTGAAGTCATCTCAAAGGTATATATATATATATATATTTGGTCAATTCAAAGCTTGTGCTACTTGCCATAACTTGAAATAATAAATTAAGACAGTTTGATTGAATGTATATGTGTCTATGTGTTTATATATATATATATATATATACAAACACTGATAAGTGAGTATGTGCTGACCATCAGTTTTAGAATCATCACTTCATTGCTTTTATTAAAGAGTTTAGAATGTAGTATATATGTATATATCACTTACTGCCAATAGAAGTAAATGAATGTGGTCTACGTCAAAGGATGTGATTATTGCATGCTGTACATTTATAATTTGCTATAGTATAAAACCAAGCAGGTCTTTGTATAATGTAAAGTTTATGATGAATACAGATTTCACACTCAAACATTTGTTACTTCAACCTACAGTTTTTAGAATTGAAATAATCACGAAATGGAAAATATCCATCAAGTTTAGCTAAATCTTTGTCATGTTCCATGTTTCGTTTAAGACAATAAAAATAATCTAGATATCCATACTGAACATTTGTTACACAATCGTATTGCAAACCATGGTAGCACAATGCAAAAATTTGCATAATATTGATTGAGAGTAATTGTGTATTATGTTATAATTAAGATCAAGTGTGATAATAATAAAAGATGAATAATATTTTAAAACATATTGAAACATGAATACAAAATTTATTGATGTTATAAGATAATAACATTCTGTACTATATGTTATACAACAAATTCTAATATACAGTTTGTTTACAATAGATTCTTGATAGAACAATAAAATAAATAAATGAATTAAATGTCTTGCATTTTCATTTTTTAAATATTATAATATTACAATTTACAAATGGTTTCTTTGTAAAATTTATCTTCACACACACACATGCTAAAATAAGAAATAACAAACAGCCCCCCCCCCTAGAATGCTCACAATGCCACCTCTCTCATCATCTTCAAAGATGTCAAGCAAAGTACCATCATCATCTCAAGGCCTTTTGTTTTTCTTTTTATGATGTACTCTTTAAATCTTAGATTAAAGCATGAGTTTTAAATGTAATAAAGAATGGTGCAAGCAAAGAGAAGAGGGAGAAAGGGAGGGATTATTATTATTGTGTATTATTTATTGTGGTTGGTTTTGGGTGATTCAAAAGCATTTGGGGGAGAGAGGGAGAGGGTGGATGAATGTACACAAAGATGGATGAAGAGTGTATGAATGAGCTTCCTGGGCCTCACAGGGCAGGTAGTCAGTCAGATTTACTTTCGTAATAGTAATTATAATAATAATAACAATAGTAAATATTTTCCCCTTTTTATTTATTCGGGGGGGGGAGGAGGGGAATCAAGTTACAGTTGGAGGATCCTGTCCTTTTATCCTGGTACCATCTACTTACTGCCCGCTAATGCTGCCCCTCCAGAAAGGCCAAGGGGGAGGGGAGCGGGAATAGGGGGAAGATCTCCCTCCCTCCCTCCTTCGTAGCAGCAGCTGCAAGTGGATTCATTCATTTCTGTCGTTCTATGTATTTCTCGATTCTCACTTGTTATGTATTTAATTAATCAACAAGAGTAAATAAAACAAAAGGTAGGGAAGAAAAGAAGAAGTGGTCGGATGATGGGAACGGAACGAGCATCTGATTAACATTCTCTCTGCTTGCTCTGCCAATTGGGTGTTTCGTAAGCTTCGGTGCTCATTCGTTCTGATCCTTTTTGCTTTAAATTTTGTAACTTAAAAACATGAGAGAGATTAGGGGAAGGATTCTCCTTAATAGTGAGTGAGGTATGCCTTGTTTGAACTCTCCACCCACCCACACCCCTTGATTCTTCCTTCTTATCACCAGTAGCCCTCTCATATATATATATATATATATATATAGAAACCAAGGGGGTAAAGGGGAATTATTTCTGCTTATTTTTAGCTTTATAAACTGGGTTTGTTTAAATATAAGGGGGGGGGGATGTGATCAGTTTTTGCGAATTTGTTTGAACTGGGCTGGAAGGGGATTAGGCCTAACTAAGCAGAGGCGATAATCACGAAAGTCCCCATACAAGGCTAAGGAGGAATTTATTGTGGATGAAGGTTGAGTGGGGCACAGTCGCCCGTGGAAATATGGATGAATGAAGGCGTGTCGTTGGATGGATGAAAATATTATGGATGACGAATGAGTGGTGTTTGGTACACATATATTTAGATATCTATTACACAAACTGATTAACATGCCAGGTCAAGAGTGACTCACTTGTCTCGACGAGTTCTTATTTTAAAATTGGGGTGTGATCCCAAGTCTACAACACGGTGAAAGTCTCCCCCGCATACGGTGGTGTCCCACTGCTGTGAGACTCATCTGTTTGTGCTCAAGTCATGCGGAACTGTAGCCATGGCCTTTACAATTACAAATAAAATTTGCTCGACGTGGAAGATGGGTTCTAACTTACATCTTGGTATTACGTCAGGGAATGCTCAAAATGCAAACTTAAGTAAAAATGAGTACCTGCATGATTTCTTTTCTCTTCCATCTCAATAACAAGGGTTTCGTTGCAGTGTTTTGTTTTTGTTTTTGTTTTTTTGTTTTTTGCTTTGCTTTCTGAGAGATAGGAAGTAATAAGAAATAATCTGATTGGTTGTGAGTGATAAGGTTGAAAGCAGAATGCCTTGAAACCCCATATATCTATGATTGGTGCCCCCCAGTTTCCTCCTCAAAAGGCTGCAATTGAATGAGAACTTTTGCAGAACAAAGGAAACATTGAATGGTGCACGGTACTACACCACTGTGCTGCTGCAGATGGGCAAAAGCAAAAACCCCTCTTTCTCCATATTCAGTAGATGAATCATTGGCTTGCAGGATATATTATCTGATTCCACAAGGCTAGATTTAGGTGAGAAAAAAATATGAGCTTCTTCTTTTTCTTCTTCTGCTCCCATCTTACTATACTCAGAAAAACAAACCAGTTCACTTATTCAAGCATAGTGCACCGAACGGATTTGTGCACACGGTAATGAAAAAGCGGCAGCAGAGGAGAAAAAAACATTAGCTGAGTAACACCCATAATAATAATAATAATAAGAATAGTTAATTAATAAAACTCGGTCACACCGTCAACTTGGTTGATCAATCCTCCAGCAGCCAGCCAGCCAGTTGACACACATCCGATGCCATCTATTTTCCGAAGCTTTGCCTTTTTTTCGGTGCCCGATTTTTGCTTTGTGTTGTTCCTCCAGAATGGAGGAAGTGGGGAGCTTTACCATGAGAAGACGACAACGCCATAGCTCACGAAATGTACCGGTTACATAATCTCAGCCCATCACGACGGCTTCTTTTTCCTGCTTGCTTTCAGTCGTGTTAGGGGGCGCTCTCTCTCTCCCTCCCTCCCTCCCGCTCTCCCTCGCTGCAGGAGCAGCAGGCTGGATCGCAATGTCTGCGCCGAGAGGTTGCCTGGGAGCCATCAATCATGGTGCTTCCATAGTGTTGCACTCCTGCTGAAAGCTCTCAATTTGGCTCGACCACCGAGTGTTTGTTTCCCTTTTGTGAATTCGTGACAGTTGTGTGTTGCGGTGCCTGTGTGGGTCTCTCTCTGCTTCTGGTTCGGCGTTTCAGTGCCTCGGTTCGGCGTGCTGCCGAGTGGCTGAGCCGAGCACTGTCGAGGAGGAGCTTCTTTGGAGACCCAGAACAAGAAAATTTGAAAAAAAAAAAAAAAAAAAAAAAAAAAAAACGATAAAAAAAAACAACAACAACAACAGGTGTGCAAAGCCCTTTCATTTTTTATTTATATATATTTACTCATTTTTATTGTATGATGCTCACTTTATCTCGAGGTTCGTTTGCTCCATCTTCGTGTTTTTCTGTGTCAGATGGTTGATTTTTCAGAAACTTCTTGATTTGTAGTGCTTCCTGTTTATAGCGGTTACGTTTACGAGTGTGGAGGACTGGGTGAGGGATTTGAGGTAGTGAACGAGGGCGAGGAAGTCACTACAGAGTTCTAGCCAGATGTTCTCACAGAATTTGAGACACTCGCTCATCATCCTCACATTTTTCTTAGTGGAATTGTGTGAATGATGTGACGGACTTGAAATTTTGCGTGTGTGATGCTGCTGCTCTGCCATCCTGCGGTTGTCGTGTTCGATTCAGTCCTTACACGAAATCGCGTGCTACTGTTCCAAGGAGTTCTACAAAGTCTTACTGTACATGAGAAGTTTTACAGAGGTTTCTTTTTAGTCACGAGCTTGTGAGAACTTTGCTTTCTATGCCTCGTCGATGTTGACTATCATATCTAGTTTTACGTCGTAAAACAGTCCTCAGATTTATTTGAAGCCATCAAGACTTACTGATGTATGCATAATTTGAATTGTTTGCTACGTACATGATCCTTCATTGGTTGATGGCGAGCTATTGATCTTCTTTCTTGGATTACTCACTCACTCACTCACTCACTCGCCGAGTTTCTTAGTTGAAGCTGGCGCTGTTCTGAATATAGACTTCTGGATTGACCACTTTCGGGGTGAGCTCGTAGTTTTGTACTGTACTGAGTCTGGTGCCGTGGCGTTAGCTGAACTTCCTAACCGTCTGGTTGTTGTGGAGTGCAGGAGGCGCACTCAATTTTTGAGATTAGCACACTTTTGTGTGCATAGGGTTGAAGCTTTCGTTCCTTATCTCAGCATGGTCTGTGTCACTCCATAAAGAGCCAGTGCTTCCTGAGGATTTTGAAGCAACCCTGGCCTTCGAAGTACCATTAAGCATTTGCATACCCGGGCTACATTTCAGTAATCTGGGGCTGTTTCCATCTCCGCCTTGCAGGCCTAAGAGGTCGTGGTATGGCACATCTACATACACGCAACGCTCGTGGAAGTTCATACGCATAGCCGACTCCTGGCACATATCCGATCTGATACCCCACTGAGGTCTGTCAGGGTAACCTTTTTCTGTCTCTCAACATCGAAGTCCGCTGGTTCTTGCGCGTGGTAGACTTGCATTGTTGTTTGGTCTGTCTTATGATGAACCATTCCTCCACGGCCAAGTGCAAATGGAGCTTTCAATCACAAAGCTCAGGCCCGAACAGACTGAGGAACCATCCGAAGAGGACAAAGAGGCTAGTAATGCCACAATGGATCCTGCCATCTGGGGTCGATTACATGGAGAGCTAGTGGACAGAATTCTTCTATGTTTGCCGATTGCCAACTTGTACTCTCTTCGGTGTGTGTCCAAGTCATGGGATACAACCATCAAGTCCACGAGCTTCAACAGGATGTACCTGGAAAAGGCATCTCGGGGACCTTCGTGGCTCTTCATGTGTTCTTCATTCAATTGTCGGTATGTCCCCTCCTCCACATATTCACTCTCTATCTTTCTCGATTTGTACGTTGTTAACTGATTCATCTGTACTTCAACTTTATCGAACATGATACCCTTTTCTTCATGTACCTAGTTGATTAAAAGTGGCTGTTGACCCAGTTTTGTTGCTATTGGCAGGGACTTCACAAGTGCTTATGATCCAGTGCAAAACAGATGGCACAATTTCCCTCTCACATTTCTGCCCTCCTGCATGAGGTTTCCTTTGACGGCAGTCGGAGGCCGGCTGTTTGTGAGAGGCGGCTTGACAAATGCCGGAGTCTTGGTAGTGTGCAACCCAATGACCAGATCATGGCGGGTGCTCCCGCCCATGATTCATAGGAGATTAAACTCTCTTGTTGGTGTCTACGAAGATAAACGCTCCAAGAGCTACAAGATTGTTGTTGCTGGAGGAACTTCGGAGAGTGGTGGTGAGTATGAGTGCACCACTGAGGTCTACGACTCCTTGAGTAATTCCTGGAAGGTATGTTTCCACGATGCTATTTGCTTCTCTTGTGAGGTCAATTGTCACTTGTGTACATTTTTTTTTTAAAATAATTCTTTTATCATCTCACCAACAATCATATCAACTCAACCAATGGAAGACAAAATGATCACCCTTCTCTGTGTATCTTATTTGGCTTATTGATTTGTTGGATGTAGATATTGGACTTAGACGTGCCTCATCTTCTTTTCGACAGGTTACAGGCAAAGTGCGGAGGGAGATTACGGTACGCATTACGTGGTGGACATCAAAGACGGTGTTCTGCAACGGAGTTTTATATTGCCTCACATCTGGGCGTCCATACAGCGTAATCGCTTATGACTTAAAGACGGCAACATGGGATGAAGTGGCAGTGCCCCCACCGGAGTTCCTCTTCTGTACGTTTCTCATACAGCGACGGAATCGCCTGTTTCTCGTGGGCGGGGCAGGCACGGAGCGAATCTGTGAGCATGTGCACATGTGGGAGCTGAAGCAAGTCGACGGAGAGGGAAAGCAGTGGGTAGAGGTGGAGAAAATGCCCCACGAGTACTTCCAGATTTTCTTCAAGGAGAGGACTGCTACGGATCTCAAGTGCTCCGGGCACGGCGACCTGGTGTACTTCTACAAGGATTCACACACCCAGGTATTCAGTCCATTATCAAAACTCATGCACAGCCAGCTTCTGATTGCCAGCTTCTAACCTGTGATAAGATTGCACAGCCCTGAAACATTCCACAACTAACACAAAACAGTTCAACCTCGCAACTGGGTACTTGCAGGTATTGGTGTGCGATTTCTCGAAGAAACAAACCGAGTGGAGGTGGCTTCCCAAGTGTCCGCTCAGCATGAACTTCTTGAAATTCTCCATTCGGGGCCTGTTCCTGGACCCCACTCTGGACGCTTCCGTATGATTCAATCCTATATACATGGTATATATAAAATATATGACAAAATAAGTAGTTGTAGAATTGTTAGCTTCTAGGTCAATCCAGTTAAAGCGGGTGTAGCATTGATGAGGATAAGAGAGAAGCATTCGATTTGTGTGTGGTAAGATTATTCGATTCATATCTAGTTTCAGGTTCGCTGTTGTAGAGGAGGTGGACAGCGTATGAATAATCTCTGGTGACAGTGGCATTACTCGGTGACAGTTCCGAAGGTTCTTCTTCTTCTTCTGCGGAATGAGGCTCCAGGTTTGAAGAATCCCAGCTTAGCCTGCTGGCAAAAACGAGACTTTGCAATGTACAGTGATTCATCGTTTTTTTTTTTTTTTTTTTTTTTTTTTTAAATTAACGTTTGTTCATATTTTTCACTTCGCTGCAATTTCGTCCTAGTGTTGGTTTCGTATTCTTGGATGCTTAAGAATCAAAATCCGAGCTTTAGTGTCGGTTCTGATTCTTTGAAACAATTGTGAAGAATCCTTGTCAAATTTGAGTTTGGTTTTCTTTGCACGTTTGATACTCTATCTTCTTGGTTAAGCAGTAAGTGGGAAATTCAAGAAATATTAAGTACATGAATCCTTCGAATTTTGGAGTCCATTGATAAAAAATCAAACGTTGATGAATAAAAATTATGTCTATGTGTGTCCATGTATACGTGTCTACATGATCTTGAAAATTAAGAAAATAAAAAATTTCTGCCGTGGGTTTCAATTTTTAACGTCATTGAACCACCAAACTTTAATCTTTTCACTCTATGCCGTTTGCATTCTGTTATTTATTTTATTTTATTTTATTTCGAATTATGAATATCGAAAAAATAATAGTTTTAACAATCCACCTTAGAAGATACGACCACGAATGTATTCCAAAATTATTTCAGTGAAGGAACTGGCACCCTAATTTTTTTTCATACCTTACAATTGACTTAATTGCCATCATAAATGTTTATTTGTTAATTTATTTTCTTTTATCTTATTCTAAATATCTTATTCTCTTTCTCTTATGTTCCCCAATGTGGATACAACCATAAAACGTGATAGATATTTAAAAACTTCTTGTGTTGGAAAAATCTAGAAAGGAGATTCAAACCAAGAAGAATCAAAGAGAGAGAATGGATTAGAAGAAAAAATTCTTATGGATTTGCATACTTGCACTGAACATACCTATTGTTCCTCTCCTATTCCCATCGACACACCATGTTCATTCCTATATATATATATATATATATATCTATAAAGAAATATTTGGGAGAATGTAATGAAAAGTCTTGTTGAACAAATCCCTTTGGCATTGCCTTCCTCTTGGCTCTTCCAATATGCTCTATGGCATGACTCAAATAGTGGCCACATTAGATTCTACAAACTTGTGAAAATTCCTTTTCCAGTGCATCTTCCTGTTAGTGCATTTTTTTCCCATGTAGAGATGCATTTGGCAACTTATTCTGGTGTAGAGAAAATCAAGGGTGGGCTGAGAGGAAGAGGGCAAAGATAACAATAAAAAAGAGGAATTCAAAGATGAATATATGCACAAGCCAAGCAAAGGGTGATGATGCTCATCAATAGCTACATATACAAAAACATACACATGAAAAAAAAAATGAAGTTCAGAACTTAAAACATCTACTAGATCCATTAAAACCCAACAATGAATTACCCAACAATTCCCATCTTTGCATTGATATCTCAGATACTATAAATTGATGTCCATTCTGATAACTTCTCTGTTGTTGTTGTTGTTGTTGTGTGTGTGTGGATTCATAATAATTTTACATTTTTATTCATTCATTAGGTTTTGATGGGGTCCAGGATGATCACACAACATGACTAGTTTTTTTTTTTTTTTTTTTTTTTTTTTTTTATTAGCTCAGTATGTGGAAGTGTGGGGCTTGTAATTCACAATTTCAACTTGCCTGCAGTTTCATGCATGACAATGCAACAGAACCCATATGGTTTAAAGTTTTGATAGATGCCTGTGAGATTGCTATAAAAATGCCATAAAAAAGATCCCATAGTGAAATAATAGAATAGATAAAATATTTATTTTAGGTATTGAAGGTAGGATGTTTATTTATTTATTTATTTTTGTCTTTGACAGAAAAATAATCAAAGTGATTTTGATTCATTTGCCTATTCATGGTATTCCCAAAATTGAGAAACTGAAGAGTGATTTGCCACAAAAACGGAAGAATTTTTGTTGTTAATTAATGCAAATTCATACTGAAGAAGTATTTTTTTTGTGAAAAAAAAAAAAATCAATGCCAAAATCTTTTTTTTTTTACATTTTGAAATTTAGTTATCAATATTTCATAATTTTAATATGCAGCTATCTGTACTCCAAAGACATGAAAACTCAAAGTTTTTGAAGAAAAGAGTGATTTGATAATTGTTCGTACGATGTGTCATAACCAACAAAACAATTGAGTCGTTGAGCATTAGAACACTCTCTAAGAATTTCAAGTTAATAACCTTTCCGCTTTGAGGATATCAAACAAAAGTTAAGACTCTGGCAGCACCGAAGAACACCTCGCAGTAAGTAAGACCTGGCACAAGTAACAAATGTGTTAAAAATGTTTCATTGATTGTTTGTTTGATTGATTGATTGCTAAATGGATTGATGCTGCTCTGCGCCATGGCTGCTGCTTCTGGGCTCTTGACTATGAAAAGCTCTCTCCCCCTTTTGTCACCTTCCTCTCGTTTTTGTTTCCACTCGGAGATGTTTTTTGATCAATTGCTGCACATACCACACTATTACAGTTGAATCTGTCTCAAAATTGTGTTTTTGCTTCGTGGGTTTGAGGATTTGTCCCGTCTGTGTCTGTTTTCAGATTTGGTGTTCAAATTTGACAACCTGCTTACTAGTTTTGAGAGCTCACTGTTACGTGTGAGCTTGATTTTTTTTTTTTTTTTTTTTTTTTTTTTTTTAGTTTTTTTTGTTTAGATTTTTTTCCTTACCGACAGGTCGCTAAGGTAGCCGGTAGTGAACTTGAGAGGGAGAATTCAGGGCCTTGAATGAGTAGACAATCTGATTTTCCAATTTTCCGAAGCGCATTTTCTGAGATGGTTGTGCATGCTGTATTATTGTTGAAACACAGTTACTCTTCGCCTTTAGACGTTGGAATGTATAAGTAGTCAATGAACGGGGAGAACTGGGCTATTAATGTGAAATCAGCCAAGCTTAATGCTAATTTTCACATAGAGTTTTCAGAATTTCTGTATGCGAAAAAATGTGATTTAGTAAAAGCATGTCGATTGTGGAAAGCACTTGTTGGCGAGAGACCTGTCGAGACATATATATTTGTCATTTCTGATACCTATTCGACGGAGTGAAGTGGTAGAGAGAACTCACGGTGATAATTGATATGTTTGTTCTGTGCGGCACAACACATTTTGTCATTATATATATATATATATATAAACAAATATCATGACAAAATACGTATTTTCTTGGTAAGGTTGTGGTTGCTCACTCATCCGACCAATTTCGTGACTTCTAGAGTTTCATTAGAAAGAAGCCTGGCGAAGAAACCAAGCATGACAGAAGACTTATTTACAGTTCGATACTCACACTAAGTAATATACTTTTCTGTACAACATCCCAGCAATATTTACTTCCTTCCTTCGATGTGGTATCTACGTCGATCAATGCAAGCGTCACGCACACCGTATTCAAGAGCGCAAAACCTGGCTCATGAGCTGACAAGTCCTGTGAAGGTATTCGAGACAAGTAGAGAATTCATAAAAGATACTGAGGCAGACCTCTTATAAGGTTTAAATACTCTTTGTACACTACAGTACCCTATGTATGTGCTACTTATATATGTATATATATATACATAGTACTGTATACGAAATGGATACCTAGTGACCTAAATACAAGGAGCAATGAGTATACATTTTGTCCAGAGATCTAAACATCAATTATAGTAGATGCTGTTATTTATTAGAGTGGAAGGAATGATATTGATGTAGAATAGACATCAAGTAAGAAGTATTCTAGGTCCAAGTTATTTGTCATTTTATTCCAAGTCTAATAATGAGACTATGTTGAGTTGTTTTAGAAAATTAATAAACATTTTCATTTCTAAAGGTTTAGTAAAGATAGCTGCTAGTTTTCTATTATAGGAACATATTTAAGGTTGGTATTGCCTTCTTCAATCTATTCTTCTATTTAGTAAAAGTGAGTATGAATATGTATTGTTTATAAGTGAAATGCATCATTATTGATCATCTTCATGGAACTTGTATTATCGCAATTTATGAGTATAAATCTTGACTGAATAGATTCTAGGTCTTTGAATAGTCTTCCTAACTAGATGGCTTCTCTTGATCCATTTGAAAGGGCCATGTACTCTACTTTGATAGAGGATATAACCATACAACTTTGCTTTATTAACTTCCAAGTTATTGGACTTGATTAAAAAATGAACATACAACCAATAACAAATCTATCTTGATCGAAACAAGACATATGATCAAAGTTAATAAATCATGTTAATTCTTCTTTTTTGTATAAAATTCCATAGTTTTGAATTTCTTTAAGATATTTTACTATCTTACTTACTTCTTTTAGGTGAGATTTTTGTGGATGTTAAACAAATCTATAGACTATATCAACCAAATATAAAATAGTATTACTTATAATTTCTTATAGGAATTATGCCTTATAAGAAATTATTTAATATTAAACCTATTGCAACAAGTTTAATAATGAATAGTTTCTTATAGGATGTAATTCCTTGATTGGACTTAATTGGAGAAATATTAATAACTTGTGTAACTATTTATACTACCTCAGTCCAAAGATAGTTGGAAGTATGAATAATGAGCATTATACTTCTTACTTTGTCTATAAATATTTTATTCTTTTTCTTGGATATTCCATTCTAATGTGGGATAAATGACAATATCAATTGTTGTTAAATAACTTTTTCACTCAAAAACGTAATAAATTGTATAAAGAAGAATTCTCTTCTTTTATCACTACAAAGCATCCTGATTCATTTCTAGAATTGGTTATCTATTAAGATAGTAAATGTTTTAAAATTATGAAATATTTTTAATTTATTTTTGAAAAAATATATCTATATATATCTAAAATAATTGCCTGTTAGTATTAAAAAGAATTGTGAATTTGTAAGAGAATTCTTAATAGGTCCACGTAGATATGCATGTATAATTTATAAGAATTTTGTGGTTTTGTTTTGAACAATTTTTGGTATGCATTCTTTATAGAGTTTACTTAGTTGACATCGTAAATATACTACACCCATAGGAGTAAGATAAGATATGCTTTTTGCACTCTATTCATAACTTAAGTTCATAAGATT